AGTCATTTGAAAGATTTAAATATATTAGTCATTTGAAAGAGTTAAATATAGTAGTCATTTGAAAGAGTTAAATATAGTAGTCATTTGAAAGAGTTAAATATAGTAGTCATTTGAAAGAGTTAAATATAGTAGCCATTTGAAAGATTTAAATATAGTAGTCATTTGAAAGAGTTAAATATAGTAGTCATTTGAAAGAGTTAAATATAGTAGCCATTTGAAAGATTTAAATATAGTAGCTATAAACAATGCACTTAACGCTACTCTACAGCTCTGCAAGCTAACATATCTATACAGCATTATTCTTCGTTTTACTTCGACTATTGCTATTAAGGACATGAAGATGAAGACGTTGGCGTTGTCACTTCCCGTTCAAGTCAACCGGACGCAAAACGAAAAACGGAAATCCTTGTTTAAAAAAATAAAAAAAATAAAACACTAATGAGTTTTTGCGTGTGCATATATACAAAAGGCGTATATATGTGCGTTCATCTCAAAATATTTATATCTACGTATACTTTTAAAGCCAACTTTATCATCAAGATCAGTGATCCCCAACTTTTTTAGCTCATGGCCAACTTTGAACTCAGAAATTTTCTGTGGCCCATGTAACTATTATAGTTGAAAAAATTACTTCCATTTTAAATAGAATATGTCCAATAAAGATACAACTATATCTATTTATTAGACACATAATTTCATAAGCATTTTAAAATATTTCGCCTCTCCAATAAAACAAGCATTTATTATCAATATTTATTTTTAAAATTTTTCCTCTGTATGGCACAAAACAAAGTAGTCAATAAAAGGTCTATGGACTATTCAATAAGTTATGTCTCATCTATTAGCCTGGTGCTCCAGTAACAATTATAAAATTTCTGTGGCCCACCTGAAATATGCGATGGACCATTTAGGTCATGTAACCATAGGTTGGGAAACTTCGACATAGACAATGTTATTTAATTCTTCTTTTTTCTGTATGTCGTGTCCATTCAAGACGTTATCGATCATGGCTCCCCACAATTTCCTGTCATTTGTATCTGTTACTAAAATATGTCTTTTTGAGATCTCTCTTAAACCTTTTTTCACCATCACTTTACGCAAACGGGCAAGGTAAGTTATGAATTGTTTCCTCTATCCCTTTTGCCTTGAGTATGCCCTTTGGGTATCAAAATTTCCAAACCTTCTTTCTTTATTATGTGCCCTAAAAATTTCATCTTTCTCTTCCTGATGTTAAGTATAAGTTTCCTTTTTGTTTCCATTTCCTCTAAAACTTCGCCATCCTTCTGTTTCTTCGAGTTTCTTTGTCATCTGTGAAGAGATTGTCCCAGCATTCACTGCCATATAGGAAGACTGATATTGCATAACCGTTATATGTGTCTGCGTGTAAGTAATATCTGTAAAAGTACATTTAGTGTATGAAATGTGTATGCTAATGTAACAACTATTATAAGACAGAGATAAAAGTTATTTATATAATTCTATGCATATGTAACAATACCTACCAACTCTGTATGTGTATGTGAGACAGAGAGAGAGAGAGAGAGAGAGAGAGAGAGAGAGAGCAAGAGAGAGAGCAAGAGAGAGAGAATATTATAGCAAAAGCCGAAGCTTAACTCTAACCCTAACCTTGTCCGATAAAAGAAAATAATAAGACACACAGACAGAACAACCAAAGCTAATCAACCAGACATCGTGATCAAATACCACAAGAACAGAATGTGCTTTCTTATTGACATGGCAATCCATGCAGATTGTAATGTATCTTTGAAGATCTTAAAAAAAACTATCAAAATACAAGAATCTTGATGTGGAAAGCTCAAAAAATGTGGCACGTGAGGACATCCATAATTTCAGTTGTAGTTTGAGCCCTCGGTTTGATTGGAAAAGATTCCAATAGACTCATTGAAGGGATTCCTGGTAGCCTATGCGTTAAAGAGATACATAAACTGTTCTGCCAAGTACAGTTCACACCTTACGATTGACTTTATCTTTTTTAAACTCTTTGTGCTTTCATGTTGTTTTACTGTTAAAACTCTTAAAACTGGTTGTTACTGTTAAAACTGGCTGTTTTATTGTTAAAACTTAGGTTGTTTTATTGTTAAAACTCTTAAAACTGGCTGTTTTAACTGTTAAACTATTAAAACTGGCTGTTTTATTGTTAAAACTTAGGTTGTTTTATTGTTAAAGCTGTTCAGTGGAAGAACCATCCTTCTTCGGACCCTCGTGGTTTGGCGCTAAACAATCGCAGAAAAACTGTTGTATCAAATAACAGAAACAACATCATTTCAGAGCTTTCAGCAACGGCAACAGCGAAAATCGATATCACGTGTAAGTCGAAGAGAGAAGAATAACATAAGATGTTGACGTTCCACACAACTTCAAACAAAAAGTTAGTAAGGAAACCCCCATCAGTACCAGAAAATGCGATAACAGTTACTGGACTTGAGAAACCGATTTTCAGGAAATATTTTATAAATGTTTAAGCGAAAGTATCACTGATTGCTTTCGGTCTGTGAATGACAAATATTTCCACATAAAGAAACGGATGCTATTACCATTAACATCAGTTTAGGTAGTGTAGAACGTTGCCTCGCCATTCTAGCTAAAATTCACGAATTAACACTGTCATTGTGTTAATGAATTCAACATAGTTTAATTGTAAAGTTAGTAATGTCAGATAAGAATATAAGAGTAAATTTCTTTAACTAAAATAATTGCATATTCACTTTTAAACTCCGCGGTCGAATCGAGGGTATGTGGCTTCGATCCATTCTTTGAACGTTCGATTTTCTTGTGTCAATGTGAGGTATTCTCCCCCTCCTCTCGCAGTTCTGGTGTTTTTAGAACATCCTTTTATCCGGTTGTCATGCGTGTGTGTAAGCTCCTAAGTTCAGCTGGCTTCACTTCTTGGTTCATGTTGTTGATACCTCCAACAAACATCCTTCTTTGAGGCCATCTTCTAGGTCAACCCTCAGGGCTCTTTTGACTTTCTGAAGTGACACCGAGTAGAAAACTTATTTTAGTGTATCTTACCGTGACTAAGCTAAGGTCTCACGAAACTTTAATGGCGCAACAGCTGTTGCCTTCGTAGCACTGTCTGTATGATATTATGCATGAAGAATTTTCTTATTTTTATCAGTGACTTTTAAGTTAGGCCTTTTCTCTTAAATGATCTTTATAAAGAGAGAGCAAGAGAGGCAGAGATAAAGACAGAGATAGATAGATAGATAAAGAGAGAGATGGGGGGAATAGTGAGGGGATTAAAACGAATGCGAATAAGAAAGAGAGGGGAAAAGCAATTTCAATGGCGTAAGAAGATTTCACATATTTTCTACTAATTTCCTACAAAGAATTTATCAACGGCAACATTTTAAGGATTTTATAACACGAAAAATTAATTATTGTCATAAATGGAAACTATATTTACTAATCATTAATGCAAAATTCACCGAACCCCAATATTTTAAATAGAATTTTGAAATTTTTTTGTCTGTGTATAAACGTGCCGATTTTTGTAAATACGGAGGGCCATACACTACATTATCAGAAGATAAGAGTGATAACTACAGTAAATTTGAAGCCAAAGTACCTAAAATTCAATAAAACATTAGATTACAGAGAATATTTTCCTAATTTTTTTAGATTACTGGGTAGTTAAGAATTATATAAAAATGGCGCTCACGTTATATTCCTCGAGGAAATTTTACAGATATGTCCACCGTAGAACAAAATTAGGTAAACTTCCATCTGTCAGTGAAGCTGTCTACCTTAAATAAACAGCTACAACTGTGTTAAAAAAATGTATTTCTACGACATTATAAACTTAAGTAATAATTGTTTCAAATCAGATTAATTAAACTTTAAATTTGCTAATATTCTTCAAATAAACTTTCAGAAAAGTATATTTTATTTTTGAAAGATTTTTTTAATAATGATAATTATATTATGATGAAAAACGGCTGAATTGACTCTAAATTCAACAATTTTAATTTTAAAATGAAAACTCCTTCCAGTCAATTTAAATTCATTTTTAAGTACAGCAAAGTATTTTTCTTATTGAAAATATTAAATTTAATTCATTAGCTTGAAATTAAAAATAAAATAAAAGCTTGAAGAAAGATTTTTCATTTTGAAAAGTTCATTTTAAACTTAAAATTTTATGTATCGTGAATCTGTGGCGGTACTACTCACTAAATATATAGCAGAAGCACCAGACCAGATATGAGGGCAACATTTGATGGGTGGCCAAACAGCGGCTCTTGAAAATATGTTGGCTGGGCTCCTTTTTTCATCAAAGTTGATATAAAAGGCAAATAAGAAAAAATATCAAGATTTATAATTATTTATGGGTATGAATTGAAACCCCGTTGGATTAAAACGTAAGTTTTGTGTAAATTTTGGTTTTGTCTTGCGTCTCTCAAACATATAAACTTTATCATATGTGGTTCTTGCATTAAGCGGGTTTGGCCACTCATGCCATAGATGAATGGTAGATTTAGATTGTGGCGAGAAAAATTGTCTAGTACGACATAGCAAACCAACATTCCTAGCAGCGGATCTAGCAAATGATTCAATAAAATCTATCGATTTCATGTCAGCTGGAAGTGTAAAGGCGCGATGTGGGTTAGCATCGGCCATTTACGATTACTTTTTTTTTTTTTACATATGCAATTATAAATATAAAAACTGTTTGGTTTATGGTATATAATAGAAATATATATTTCGTCTGAGAACGAGAGCGACTTTCTGTTGTACTAAGAAGCGGGTTTAATGGTTTGTTTCTGCTGTCGTCAATTCTTTTGGTGGTCAAACGTGATTAGTGTAACAAAGAAAGAACAATTGCATTTCTACAGCGGTATTTTCTATTACAACCAAAATTTTCTGATTGACCCAAATGTCTAAAGATATTTGCTTTGACGAGAGACGAAAAATGACTAATAAATCATGTTTTTTTGTTATTTTCATTTATTTGAATTACAGGCTACGAAATCCAATATAACTTGAAAGAAGAAAAAGAAAAGAAAGAAAGACGAATATGTAGAAAAGAAAAGAAAAAGAAAAAAAAGAAGAAAGAAAAGGCAAAGAAAGAAAGAAAAAGAAGGGATAAGAGTGTTACAAGAAAAAATTGAGTAAAAAAAAAGAAAGGAAAGAAAGAGGAATAGACAGAAAAGAAAAGAAAAGAAAAAAGAAGGAAAGAAAGAAGGAAACGGCAAAGAAAGAAAAAGAAGAGATAAGAGCACCACAAGAAAAAATTAAGTAAAAAAGAAAAGAAAAGAAAAAAAAGAAGAAACGAAAGAAAGAAAATAATCTGTGATGAAAGGAATGAAAAATCTTAATTTCTTTAGAGACGAAGTAAAATTCAAACGTTTAGCCGCTCTCCGGGAATCACGATTTGTCTCTGATGTTGATTTTTATTCTTGTGAAATAAATCTTTCTTTTTTTCTGGTTCATCCTCTAAACATGTCAAAAAATTTTACAAATTGTCTAATATTTACAACACACACATACATACACACGCATACACACACGCACATATACACACTACAGTTCAAAAGTTTGAAGCAACCTCCAGAATTCTGGGATGAAATGGACAGAAGAGTGAAAAAAAAAATGAAAAAGAATTCTTAGAATCATTGAAAAAAGAATGGAATCAATTACCAAATTTATACTTTGAGAAACATTTGCAACGAATGCAAAAAAATTGTTCTGCAGCAATCAAGTTTAAAGGAGGATATTTTGACGAGAGTAAAATTTAATAAATTGTTTTTTTTTCTTTTTGTCTTAATAAAATTTCTAATAAAAAATCATGTCTCACTTTTTTTTAACCATGTATAATAATTTTCTCTTATTTAAAAATAAAAAACTACTTTTGGGGCTAAATAAAAAAAATTACCATGGGTCGCCTCAAACATTTGAACTGAAGTGTATATGATAGTTTATGGGATAAAGTGCTCAATATCAGAGATAGAGTGTATGTAAATATAAATATAAAAGTCGACATTGAGGACAACATCCAGTCAGCATCGTCTGTTTCATGCTTACACGTAATCTTCAGGGCATGTGTCAACCTTACAGTAGTGGGAAAGTGACTGAAGCCGAGGCGCCAGTATGTGTGTGTATGTGTGCGTGTGTGTCTGTGTGAGAGATAGCTAGCTAGATAGATAGATAGATAGATAGATAGAGAGAGAGAGAGAGAGAGAGAGAGTGTGTGTTTGTAACGTGCGCGCGCGCGTGTGTAGGGTGGGTGGGAAATAACGAGATATAATATTTTATACATCAAGAACAATTTTAAGGGGAAAAACTTCTTTTCAATCCGATAAAGTCCTAAAGGTCGAAACGCATCACACACCAAACTTTCTCCACACTTGTTCAGAGATTTTTTAACTCTCAATATGTGTGCATGTGTGTGTGTGTGTGTGTGTGTGTGTGTGTGTGTGTGTGTGCGCGTGCGTGTAGTTCTGTACACATGTAAGAAGAGAGACAGAGAGGGGAGAGTAGAGAGGAGAGAGTGAGAGAGGGAGAGGAGAGAAGAAGAAGAGAGAGAGGAGAAGAGAGAGGGGGATGGAGGTGAGAGAGAGAGAGAGAGAGATAGGGAGATAAAGAGAATCCAATGCAGATAATGTGAACTTGTAAACTCGTCGGATTTTATAAGTACACAAATCTATTGACTGCTAAAAGATTGTGTTGCGTCATTTTACCAGCTGGAGAGGTTCTTCCTGTCATGGAAATAAACATTCGAAATCAAGGTTTTTTTTTTACCCTGTCGCTCGAACGCCAACTATCAATACAATAGCGACCGTCTTTAGGTCGTCGAGGTCCGCCTCATCGAACTTGAAAAGATCGATCAGTTTGGCGTCAAAATTATAAGAACGCAGTCCTTCCTTGAGATTCTTTAATACCAAGTAGCAAGGACACCTTGAGGAAATATTCGCAAATGTCATGAACCCGAAGAACAAAATCAGAAAACTGAGCTCAAATTCCAACTTAAGATGTGCACTTGGCCTTAATAATTTTAGAAAAGTCCTGAATCCATATCACACTGCGTTCTCTCATACACCGAAAAGGTTTGACAGATGTTTCACTACCATGCCATTAATGGAGGAACAAGTTTAGTCAAGTAATTGATAGTTGCTTACATGTATCACATTATCGGTGAGGAGATGGGCGGAGTTATGTGGAAGCATGAAAGATCCTGATGATCTCCGTGCAAAGTACGATTTATAATAAATGGCAAACAGTTCAGTTGACCTTTGCCATTAGATTAGGTACCTCCACAGATTCGCTAAAAAATTAGCATACCATGAAAAAAAAATACCCCAAACTTAATCAAAGCAAAGTTTTGTCATCAAAATCTTAATGTTAGTATTAAGAGGAAAGACCAAAGAATGTTTTATTGTTAAATTATATTTTTTTTATCCTCTTTATTTTTGTTCAAAATCGGCGGCTGGTAACAAAGACCAGTATAGGAAAATTTAGCGTTTTTTTTTGCGGTAAAAATTTGAAAATTCATGCGAAAATCAAATAATAATGAAACTTTCAGGACTCATTCACAAATGAATTAAATTATTTTAGAAATGTCTTGTTTTTTAGGAAATCTTTTTTTTAATGTTACCCCCTCGACACACACACACTTATTTAATTTTATGAAATTTCGACAATTTAATATTTGTAACGCCAGTTACTGAAAATCTGCTTTGAATCGTAAAATAAACAATGAAATAAAACATTATTTAATTAGAAAATCTTTTAATTGTTTTATGAAGAAGATATGACTGCTATTGCCTGGAGAAAAAAAATTTCCACTAATAATGAATTTTTTACAAGAAATGATTTCATTTTTTTTTTTTTAAATTCTAATTAGACTAATGGAATATGTAAACAAGCCTGCTGAAATGGTGGTATCTCCCACGAAACGGATCTCAGGTTCGATCCCTGCCGGAGTAGACATTTTCTTTAATAAGATTTATTCAATGTTCAGACAGATAGACATAAGAAACACTCTTTAATAGATAAAAATGGGCTTCTATTTCAAATACGAAGTGTCTACTATAATAACGTTTAAGCAATTAATTTATATATGAGTATAGGGTCTGTTCAGATAACTCATTGATTTAATATTAACAAAAAGTAAGTTAAATAAGTGAATGGCGACTTAGCCCTCTTCAAATTTGAAATAATAATCTTGAGATCATTTTGATTGACATACACGACATTACAGACGGGACCGCTCTTTCGTACAAGTGTCCCTCGTTAGTCTTCACATTATCTTAGCATTTCTTACACTTTTTAAAACACAGTTTGTGAAGTTTTAGGGGTTAGCATCGGCTGTTTTGCCATATTGTCGTCCAGGATCTTTCAATGTCAGTTTTGGTTTCGTGAAAACAGGAAATAGCAGAGAGTCAAATCTGAATTGATGCGGCTGGGTATTACAGACCTGTTTATTTGATTCTTTTTTTTTTATCACCGAAAAAAAAGAAAGAAAGAAAAACCCCGCAAGAGACTTGAAGAAAAGTAAACAGAGGAAAATATCCGAAATGGAGAGATACTTTTCGGATAAATCAACTGACTAAATGTCTTGTTATAAAAAAAAAACAAAAGAAAAAATACTTCAAATTTGGCAAAACTTTATTTAATTGGTAAAGGGCACACTTTATTCTTGCATTAGCTTCGCATGAAACAAAAAGATATGGCTGAATAACCTGCTAAGATCGAACCTACTACAACGATGCTTCTGTCTGCGAGATTAGGTTATTATCGCGAGCGTAGGCAGCCTTCACCGAAGCTACATAACAACAGCTCTTTAAAGCTGGTCTGTTAAAAAGCGTCATGATATTGCTTGCGAAGAGGCAGGCTAGACTGCTACGACACAAATATTTGTTGAAAATGGTACCACCTAATATGCGACATCACGGAGGAATACTGGAAACAAAAAAAAAAGAAGAAGAAAAAGGAATAAAGAAAATTAGAGAGAACGAAAAGAAAGGAAAAAACTGGGAGTGAAAAGGAAATGCTGATTGTATGTGAAGATTTCTACAGGGAAGGACGAAGTTTATGAGTTCTTATAAAGGCCCAAGTTTTCGGTGTGGTCTCACTGACCCAGTGACCCTAATCTCAAATTATCGTACTCTTCGACTGCCTTTCTCTCTGTTACATTCTTTTCTTTTCATAACCAGATCATCACTCGCTGGAGGCAGCCAAGAAAGATGAAAAACAACATTTAAAATAAATATGTGTGCTCTCTCGTTCTCTCTTTCTATCTCTCCTTCCCTCCCTCTCTCTTTCTTTCTCTCCTCTCGCCCTCCCTCTCGTTCTCTCTCTCTCTCTCTATGTATATCGTTATATCAACCTCTCTCACTCTGTATATATATTCGTGGCCGAGGGGTCTGAATCCCGTCGGATATCTTGACGGTTTCCTTTGCACCAGATGGACGCAGGTTCGAATCTTGCCGGAATGCGTATAGATATATATATTTTTTTTTAACAAGATCTCTCGAATATTCAGACCGGTAGATGAAAATAAATTACGATACTGTTTCATTATTAAATGAAGCGTCTACTCAAATATGAATTTCCATTAAAATAACGTTTAAGTAATATATATATATATATAGGACTGCCAAAAAATGTATACACACTTCAGGAAAGTAAAACCTTATAGATAATGATATACTATGTACTGTAATACTAAATTTATTCAGCCATCACGAGATTAATACAAGTTACCTTTGGACTCTACAATCATAAAAGATGCTCAAAATGGTGACCTTTAGCTTCCAGACATTTATTACTATGACGAACTACTTTTTGGACAACGTTGATGTCCTGTGGGATTGCTGCACATGCATTTTCAATTTCTTGTCCAAGGGCTGCCAATGTAGTCGGTTTTCAGCGATGCCCAACATCTTTTAGGGTCTCCCATAGGTAAAAGTCTGTGGGTGTTAAATCAGGAGAATTTAGAGGATGAAATCGACCAAGAAAGGCAAGTTTTTTTCGTTTTCTTGAAGAGTGTATACATTTTGGGGCGGACTTATATGAGGATTTTTAAAGTATTATTTATATTGACGGGAGAAAACTGCTCAGTATAAGGCTCAGAGCGTATATAACTAAATATAAAGAGTAATACACGTGAGCATACTGTTTATATGGGAGTATTTAAAATAGCAATTTATTTTATGATTCTCCAGAAATATGCTGACCATGAACTGGACATGTGAGCAATGACGAAGTTTTAAAGAAAATAGAAGTAATAAAGGACACTTGTACTTAGAATCGGGAAGAGGTAGTTGAAATTCTTAGGGTACATACTGAGGTAAGAGGCCTTACAAATTTCACCCTGACAAGACATGAGAGACAGAGGAAAACAGCGAATAACCCTTCCAACGAGCGTTTGTAAATGGTTAACAGTGGAGTGATTAGCAATGATAGAAAAAGACAAAACTTACAGTTGCAAGGAACAAGAAGTTGTGGAGAAACATAAACACCCTTGCTGTGACGGGACACGGTAGATTTACTATATACTAACTTAAAAGTCGCTCTATATTTCCGTACAAACAGTTATTTTATTTCATGGGTGACTTTCGTTGAATGTCGCAATTAATTTCGATTATTCCCAATTTTACTACCAAGTTATAAAACTGTTATCGTACAGAAAAAAAATTCGTCTAAAAAAAAATCACGTAAAAAAATGTTGGACTACGACGTCTAGGAGCAAAGTTCAAAATGTGTGACACAGTGACACACTGAAATTCACATGACCATATTTATATATATATATATATATATATATATATATATATATATATATATATATATATATATATTTGTTTCATTGTATTCTCGTCACAAGTGTGTGTGTGTGTGAGCTGGTGTAATCAGAAAAAATAATTTTAAATTACATTCTTTTCTCTGACACTTTTTGTATATATGGATTATTATATATATATATATATATATATATATATATATATATATATATATATATATATATATATATATATATAACTTTAAGGACAACAAGGATCATATTTTTTATTATTAAAATAGATACAAAAGTATCTCTCTTTTAAGAACAGGATTTTAGGCGCCTTTACATACATATATACTACAACGGATAAATTATTTTTTTAATAACTGACTGAGTGCGCGTGTTCTTTAAAAATCACCATCAGTGAAATGCAGATTTTATCGAAGTTACAATAAGTTTCTGTAATTTTCCCCTGAAGATGATCTCGTAAAAGGTCGAAAGTACTTGGGTTAAAAAAAAAAAACAAAAAAAACTACGGTGCCTTTCTTGATGAATTTCATCTCAACATCAACAAACTGATTCGAGAACTGGAAAGGATCAGTATAAAAATAAGCAGACACAATATGTCTATATTATTGAATGAAACATGTTTTAATGAAGATATGCTCCTAAGCTTATATATATATATATATATATATATATATATATATATATATATATATATATATATATAGCATTGTTGTAAGAGTTCTTTGATGAAAAATTACTGGTTCTTTTTTCCGTAGTTTACTGATGGGAAGGCAATTAAGACAGAAAGGTTTTTGTCATGAAGTTCTCGATATCCAAATTTCGAAATTGAGCGTTAATAGAATTAATTTGGAGAAACTCAGTTAAGTGATATATATATATATATATATATATATATATATATATATATATATATATATATAATCCGATCTTATATTTTTTGCTATAAAACGTTTATGTGTACCGACTAAAACGTTTATAATGCAATAAGTTAGTAAAAGTAATACCATATATATGTATGTATGTATGTGTGTATATATATATATATATATATATATATATATAGATAGATAGATAGATAGATAGATAGATAGATAGATAAAAAAAAAGAGAGAGAGTAAGAGGGAATAGAGAGGGAGATAGGGGGGAAAGAAAGAATGAGGGAATGAGAGGAGAGAGAGAGAGAGAGAGAGAGAGAGAGAAATTAGATTTGTGCAAAAGTTTCCAGAGTTTTTCTTTATTAACAAAAATAAATAAATTAAATAAATAACCCTCTTTTATATTCGTGTGTATTTTTGTGTCTAATTTTCCCAGACGCACGCGAACCCTGACAAATGCCTTTATTTGTGACTGATATTTAGCACTGAATTAATTCCATTGACAAGCGTGGAGGATATGTTGACAGATAAGTATTTTATTGATTATATTAAATTATACGATTTATAATATTTTATACGGACGTCTATTCTTTATTTTCTTAGAAAAAATGCATCGTGGCGAAATGTGAGGTAACGTTTATCGCAATCATGGATGTGGTATCGTGTGAACGAAAAAAGATGATGACAAGAAAAATCTGAAAGATGATGAAAAGCAGAAATTAATTTACATCTCAATCGTAAATAAGAACGGACATTTTCTTTTTCCTTTTTGAGAGAAAGAGAGAACTTTTTTTTATCTATTAATTTTTTTTTACTTTATTTTAAACCTTCCTAGTCGCAGCTTACTTTTTCAATATTTTTTCGTTCATTCAAAAAATTATTTAATCTATTTTTTTCACTTATTTTCGTTGTCATCAATAAGCTTTTCTTCTTTTTCTCTCCATTTCACGACTTCTCCCTTCCTGTTTTTTAAAATCTTTTTTTCTTTTAATTTTTTTTTCCTTCTTTGAAAATCTTTTTTCTCTTTCTTTTAAAAATCTTTTTTCTTTCTTTTAAAATCTTTTTTCCTTCTTTTTTTAATTTCCGATGTTACAGTTGTTTATTCTTTCTTTTTCGTTTCTACTTTCGTTTCTCTTTCTTTTTTTAATTTCTTTTACCCTTCCTCATTCTCTTTCATTCATTAAGTCTTTCGTTAGTTTAAAAAGCCGCTTTCTTTCTTTCATTTTACTTCTTTCCATTCGTTTTTTCCTTTTCTTTCTTTCTTTCTTTCTTTCTTTCTTTCTTTCTCACACTCCTCAGTACTCTCTCTCCTTTATTATCATTTTCTCTATCTTTTATTCTTTCCCTTTCACATCTTTTTGTTCGCTATCCGAGCTGAACTTGTCATATCTTTGTCCCAATTCTCTTAATCTCTCTCTTTCGCTTTTTCGCTATTAGTAGCCTGATATACTTTCTGTCCTCTTTCTCTGTCTCTCTAATTAAGTCCATCTCACCCACTCTCTCTCTCATTCGTTTACCTTTTTATATCTCTCTTTTCTACAACATTTACTCTCTCTCTCTCTCTCTCAATATGTGTGTGTGAATGTGTGTGTGTGTGTACTTGAGATATGACACCCCATTCTGCTTCTCTTAATTATAATTTCTCTCCTCCTTTTTCAGATTTCTTTCTTGTCTGTGCCTCTCTCTCTCTCTCTCTCTCTCTCTCTCTCTCTCTCTCTCTCTCTCTCTCTCTCTATCTATCTATCTGTCTGTCTGTCTGTCTACGTATCGAGCTATCTCAGTCTGTTCATATCTATCTTAATCTGCTCATTATCTATCTATTTCAGTCTGTATCTATCTATCTATCTATCTATCTATCTATCTATTTCAGTCTGTATCTATCTATCTATCTATCTATTTATCTATTCCAGTCTCTATCTATCTATCTATCTATCTATCTATCTATCTATCTATCTATCTATCTATCTATCTATCTATCTCTCTATTTCAGTCTGCATCTATCTATCTATCTATATCTATCTATCTATCTATCTATCTATCTATCTATCTATCTATCTATCTATCTATCTATCTATCGGCTCATTATCTATCTCAGTTTGTTCATACCTATCTATCTATGGTCTTTTTCTCTCATACAATTCGTATTTCTCTTGCATATTCAATCTCTCTCTCTGTCTCTCTCTCTAAATATTATTGTTCAATATTTTGCATTCTTTGTCATGTTGTTTACTTCAATGAAAAGTACACAACCCCAGAGCAAGCTTACCCGCCGTACGGAGCACGTGTCGTAATGTATGAGTGAATTTAGCCAGTGTTGACAATGCAAAAAGTTGTAATAGCAGAAGCAGCAGCAACAGCAGCAGCAACAGCAATATTAAGCGTCAGTACTAAACAAAAACACGTTGCTTTTTCCCGCGGTTTTGCCATTTTCGGCGGGAAAAATGTGCCCCACTCCTAGCTTCTCTAGTAGTGGTAGTATGTAAATCACATCTAGAGGTACTCAAGCGAACACACTTACAAAAGAAACTAGAAAGACGTACAGCAAGACTGCAGCCGTAGACATTCCTGAATCGCGCACACACACACATACACACATATACGCACTTACGATTTTGTGTAAAAAGAAGACTTTAGTAGATATAGACTAGCTTGTCGATATGGCACTAAAGTACAAAAAAAAAGCAGCTATAAACTGGGACACACAATGAAACAATCTAAAAACTCAATTCAAAAAGAATAAAATCGGAACAAGGGAAAAATAACTGAACAGGAAAATGATAATGTTTCTCTTGAAAAGAAAAAAAAAAAAAAAGCAGTGGTTTCTAATCTAGAATTGCAGCCAGTACTGTGTTCGATCCTCACCAGGTGCCCCACAATTGTAGCCTTGTGTCATCGTAACTAAACTTACTGGTCTAACTTTATGATGAATAGGGTTAATTGCGTATTTCACACCGAGGTGTAACTTGTCGGTGTTTCAATCTGAAGAAAGAAAAACTTCAGCATTTCGAATGCTGATTTTCAAAGCAAAACGAGATGAAGTTAGTTTCGCAGTGTTGTTCGATCCTCACTAGTAACCCCCTATTTCGACCTTGTGCCAGACAAAACTAAGTTTAATAAAAAATAATAAAAAATAATAATAGTTTAATAAAAAATAATAAAAAATATACTATGAAATGTCGACAATTTATTCATCATAATTATAATATATGCATGCATCATAATTTATGATAAATTATGATAATTTATGATATAACCTAAATATTAAAAGTATATTTAGAAAAGTAACAACCGTAAATAATGTAGCATATATGTGTGCGTGAGTATGAGTGCGTGTGCTTGTGTTTATGTGTG